ATCTGTTTACTGATATTCTTCTAAATATCAAAAATCGCTGAATGGATTCGAAAACAGTAAAACTCTTTAAAACTGTTTAACTCTGGGGGAGTTGTAAATTAGCCTATTTCCAAAAAAACTGGAGTATCCCTTTAAGTCTTACAGGGATTTTGACATCATGAGAGTGAGTAATTACTGACAGAATTTTCATTTTTGGGTGAACTATCCCTTTAACATTGTAGTTCCCAGCAATAATTAATCTCTTACATGGTCGCTTGAAAATTTAAAAGGCTGATTCACGCTTCACGGTAGTGACAAGCAAATGACGTCCAGTGTGATTGTCCAGACAACCTTGGCACAACCTCAAGCAATGGCCCTGAACTGTGGTTCAATGTCAACATTATGACAATGCCTTAACAACCTTTACCCTATTGGCCATGTTGACGTTGAGTATATGTCGTCCCAACGTTCTGTGTTTGCTGGGTATTTTATGCCCGCACACTTTATTTGCTTCTATTTAACACAATGATTATCAAATCAAAATAACAAATATGTTGCTACAGTGACGAGATAAAAAAAGAACTAGAATCGGATGCATTCTGATTTGTTTCTGTTAGCAGCTGCATGAACATATCAATTTGCTTTCTCAAGCCAACATAGCTTTCAACTTTGCTTGCAAACGAATGCATAAAAATGACCTTCTGGATATAAACGAATGCAAACAGATGGTAAAAAATCGTGAAATTAAACATTTTGGTCGGCATTTTGCCTGTATTTTTCAAGTTAGTTTTAACCGTTTGAGGTAAAGCGTCCTCTCATTTACCTCGATGGCGTTTTATTTAACGTTTCTGGAGTTGTCCAATAATACAGCATCTAGTCAACAAATTATTTACTTTATAATGTCAAGAAAAATACTGAGCAGTACTTTATAGTTACCATATCATCGTCTGTTTTAAAACTGCATCTGTCCCGCTCCGTGCGCGCGCAGCCTTCACGTGTCAAACTCTACGAGGAGTCAGTGGTATTTTTGATTTCGCCTCTAGAGGCCGCTCTTGTAATCGATTTATTAAATGATTCAATGTCTCGCTCATACAAAAAGTAACTTGTCGCCACCTACAGTTAAAGAAAGGGTCTAATTAAAGTCTAGAGCAACCTAATGTTTAAAGATCTGATAAGCCAGGAAAATTTATTAGTGAGATTAGATAACAACCCTGCATTAACAACACTGTGCTATGCCCTTCAATAAGACACTCAACCTCAAGCTGCTCCAGGGGAATCGTCCCTGCAATTAGTGTACTCTAGGCTAATAGATAAATCTCGCTTAACAGGGCCGGCTATGTCCTGTTGCGTTTAAACTAAGCATTAATGTGTAATCCTATTAATTATTGGTGCTTTCTAAGGCTAATATTGTAATTTAACATACTTACCCCTCTTACTTTCTTTGGTGTGTGCATTTTGGCCTCTAAATTATCAACAAACATGATAAATGTCAATAAATGCCTTATGTCATCTAATTCACAATTTATACTTTTTGAATAAATAAAATAATTCTATAAAACATCTACCTTCAGGTTGTTAAACACCTTTTTGCTGTGAAATTTGGAATGCTTTTTTTATAAAGTAAAAGTAAATGTAAGAATACCTTTTACTGCATATTGATACAACAGGCTTTTGAGGATATTTATTTGTACGTCTCAATCATCACTGGATTGCATTGTATGTTTTGAATGAAAACTAGAGCTTAAAGTAAGATTTAAATATCATCTTGCAAAGACAGAGTAAAGGATATGTTATGCAATATGCCTACTATACTGTTATTAAGATTGATATAATTTATTTACATTACAATCTATCACATTTCATCATATTTTTTGGCTCTCTATTACACCAAATTGCATATTTTTGGCTCAGTTTGAACCTCTGAATAAAAGTTTTTTCACCCTCGAGTAAGCTCTATATTATATTGTTCTATTTAAACCATAAAAGCTTGATTTTTCAAATATGAAACAAACTGTTCCAACAAAATATTATTTCATATATCAGGTTTTACATGGTTAAGATGAAAAACAAACCCTTAACCGTAAATATTACACCTTGACACTTAACTAGTCCTGCACTGGTTGTGCTATTGAAATACCACAAATCATATAGGAACATTTTTAAACAAAGAAATTATTTCTATTTTTGTTTATTATATTTAAAATGTTTTTCTGAATCAGGCAAGTAAACAACCACCTAACAATATATCTAGCAATGCAAAATATATAGCAATGCACTATTAACCACCTTAGCAAGCACTTAGTAACACCCTGCCAACCAACAACAACACACTAAGGTTATCCCAAAGTTACCGTAGTCAGCCGGATCTGGTCCATATCCATATCCAGACCAGTTGATAGACATGCATGCACCTTGAGTCACCTTTGACTTGCTTAGTTGCTGGGGACACTCAATATTCAGCAATATTACTGATTTGACTGCACAGATACTATCGGATGAGAACTAAACTGAGATGGACAATGACATCACTGTTTCTGCAGAGTTGCTTTATAGCTGAATTGAACCAAAAACTTTAGTTATTAATCTGAACTGAATCAACTTCAGCTGAACAATGACACCATTGTCTTTTTACTGCAGAATTGAATTATTTTAGCATTATTTAATTAATTACTTAAGCATTATTTTGATATTTATTACTGTAAAGCTGCTTTGAAACAACCTGTTTTTTATGAAGCTGTATATAAATAGTAATTGCAACTGAATTTTCATTGGCTTAGTCCTTGTGAGGATCAAACCAGTAACCTTTTTACTTGCTCATGAAGTATTAAACAGCACACCATAATATAGCAACAAAGCTATCATTGACAATAACAATATATTATAAATTCCACAAAAGTACTGTATTTTTGGTTCCTCCACCAGCAGATAAATCTTCCAAGTGCTGATAAATCTTCATTTTTTCATTTCAAAATGCTTGTACATCTATCTTTTGTTGCTTTAATGCTCATTTTCTCGCCACTTCTACTTTCCCCTTGGTCTCCAAACAAATCAGTCACAATGACAGCACGGCAAACAAAGGTGAGCTGATGCAATAGAAAGACCCTGCACCAGATTGAATGCTTCTGCTGCTTAAGAGCTTCAAGAGTCTGTAATTATACTACACAGATCTAAAAGCGACATCAAAATAAGACATTATTATAAATAGTATCCTCTAACTACAGAAGATAAGGTCAGATGGTATCTTTTTTTTTTATTTGCTTCTATCATGGCGGCAAAAGAAAGTGGTTCTGGTTGTGGAAGCAGACTGTCAGCGTCCTCTGCTGGTTGATAGAGGCACACGAAATAAGATGAAGGTGAAATGAACTATAGCTGAAGGGTTCTACGCTATTAGCATTCCAGTCAACAATTTCAGGGATTGAGCAATGGCAATTATACTAGAAATAGAAGAAGTTACAAGGATTAATCATAGGACACTGGATGGCAGAAGCATTTACTTCTTGGCTTGTGAGAGATTAATCAGACAGCAGAACAACCAGAGTATTAACCAGGACAGTATTTGTGGCAGAAAAAGCCTTCAGCATCAATTTGCCAAGAGTTCTGGAATTGCAAAATGGAAAAGTTAGTTGTTTAAATTTCTAGTTTTGAAAGTATTTTCTAGTATATTTTTGTAACTAATTTTGGAATTAAATATTTCAGAAATTTTCAAATGAAGCTTAAGTTCTTACTCAGTGGAAGCACTGATCCTTTCCTCCAGACCATCGACCATTTTTACATATTTGTCGAAGACAATTTGTGTGACACTATTAAAGACTCTTTATAACCGTGAAGAAAACAGAAAAAGTGTAATTTAGTTAATTAACAGCATGATTGTAATAGTAAAGTAATACAATTTTTAGACATTTTATATAGTCGACATGTGACATTTCTTACTTTTGTGCTTCATCAAGCTTCTGTTGAGTTAATTCTCCACTTTCAGTTAGTTCTTTAATGAAAATGCTCTTCGCTTCATCCCATTGCCTATTTAAAAAATAATCATTCATAACTTGCTGCACTGTCATAATGTGTTGTTTGGAAATGTCAGGATTTTCTTTCAAATTGTTTGAGCACAAAACAAATTCTGTTATGCTTTACCTTGCTGATTGCTCAAGTTCATAATTATTAATATTTCTGTTGATCACAATGAGAACTCTGTCCCAGATGTCAAAGCACATTGCTTTCATTTTGCTGTTGCGAACAAAAAGAAAGAAAGTTGTTGGGATCAGTTTTAATTAGAAAAAATGTGTACATTTTATTTTGATTGTCCACTTTAGACCAGAATTAGTTGACATGTAGTTGCAAAGTTACTTATAGTTAGTAGAATAGTTAGTAAACCCCTGAACGCATACCTCTAATGCCTTTAGTGATCCGAGATACCCTCTCCTTCTCATTCATTTTTTAAAGTTGAACCTTTTTAGTATTCCTTAATCAATTCATAATAAACAATTTAACAAAAACAAATGATAAAAGAATGACCGTTTTCTCATACATTTTTTGTACAAATTGTATAGGGTCACTAATGACCCGAGGATGTGTAAAAGTGTAAGTGTATTTATTCTGCAAACAATAATTTAAAGGAGTAGTTCACTTTTTAACATTTTTTTGCTAATAATGTGCTAATACGAAAAGAAATTAAGGTTTTTGATGAAAACATAACAGGATTTTTCTCCATATAATGGACTTCAATGGACCCAAAACGGTTCAAGGTCCAAATAACAGTTTCAGTGCAGCTTCAAATCGCTTTAAATGATGCCAGACGATGAATAAGGGCCTTATCTAGCTAAACGAAATAAAACATAAATAAAAAAGTTTAAGTTTTATCAGCACAAATGCTCGCCTTGCTCTGTTCTGTGATGCGCGTTCGTGCCTCTCCTGTTCGAACTCGTTCATCAAAATGAACAAATCTTTTTCGAGTCATTTTGTTCATTCAACTCGAAAAAAGATTTGTTCATTTTGAAACTGTCATTTGGACCTTGAAACATTGGTGTCCATTGAAGTCCATTATATGGAGAAAAATCCTGTAAAGTTTTCATCAAAAACGTAATTTCTTTTCGACTGAAGAAAGAAAGACGTGGACATCTTGGATGACATGGGGGTAAGTAAATTATCAGCAAAAGTTTTTTTTAAAAGTGAACTACTCCTTTAATCTATGACGACTGAATAAGTGTAATTCACCTTTATTCCACAAGCTAGCAATGTCTGATACACACTGATAATTTGACGTTTCACTTATAGTTACAGCAGGCAAAATACAATTAAATTTTAGTGTCACTGTCACCTGACAGTGGATCTGGTGAAGCGATCAAAATTTTGATTTTGAAGATGTTGAAAATGATTGTTTTGAGAGCATATTTGAGATTGTGAATATGAGCCAGATGTTGAAAGTATTGGGAAATGAGCTCTGACGAAGACAGTGATGAGAAAACATCTGTTCAAATTGAACCCTTCCAAGCTTCAAAAGGTAACAAAATATGCTTTATTTTATTCCTGTTACTGTAATATCAGGAGAGTTTATATTATCGCGACAGGTAGAGATCCATCAGTGTTAGATATAGATCCGGATCTCTAAAGACCCAAATAATAATGTTGGTGCATTTAAGGGTTAATAGAATGTCTAAAGTGGACCATCAAAATGTGTTATCAAACAAATTCTTCATAAATTGTTTTGGCATCTCAGAGAAACCATCTATACACTACAGTTACAAATATCAGGACTTTGTGTATATTACCGTAAATGTCGCACTGGTTCCTCACTTTCCACATCTGATGTCACTTGGTTTTTCTTGTTTATGGAGATATGCAAAATGTCATTACTAATAATATCCCATAATTCATTAAGCACACCCCTGGAACACAACAGAAGGGGAAATTATTGCATTTATGATCAAATGATAATGATGAATCATTAGATGAACCCAGACAGCAACATACTGTAGTGTGTCGCTCCAGATCCGGCCGTGTGGAATCCATGTGCACCAGATGTGGGCCAACAATATGTTGCTGTCTGGGTATATTCATAAGTTTAGTTTATCTAAAATTGCTCAAATGTGTTTTGTAGTTGTGCCTCTATGATAGAAATTTATCTTGAACAGTTCAGAAAAGTGCGTTCTTACTTTAAATTGTACAAGATGTCCTCGCCTAATAATTCAGTGAGTGTGTCATCAGTGCCTATAAAAAAATCATTGACTTCAGACATTCCAAGGCCACTTTCAGACAATCTTTCATAAATCGGAAGGGGATATACTGTCGCCATCTTCATAATGGCCCTGTGTAATAAAAGAGCAGACTCAATGCGCATTCATTTATATATTCAAAGGATGTTCAAACAGACTAATAAACGAATGCAACACATTCATAACCACACATAATGAATGATTTATGGATTTTTGTCCACGCATATTTAGTTGAATCATGCCGTCTGTGGTCTCAGTCAGTTATAAGTCATTAATTCACAGTCATTTATTATGTACAGTGTGCATTGAATGAAACGTACTCACCAATTGGATTGATTGAATCTGTCATCTCCAAAAATCCCATCACCAAATCGATCATATTCAAGGGCAGCATTGTCAAAAAGATCACCAAAACGCTCATCTGCCCAGCTGGATAAAGAGGAGGAGTTAGGTATAGGTATTATAAGACAAAAACAAAGCCATTGCTCTGATACAGTTCTCATTTCAACTGTCATGCTATTTACACAGAGAAATGCTATTAACCCACACACAACTTCCTGAAATCTTAAGACCTTTCACATGTTTTTCCTTAGCAGGCAGCAAGTGAATTGAAATGACAAAAATTACGCATGTGATATTTGCTTACGTCCATGCTTGTAGTCCTGTCTCTGGTTTAGAAATCATGTTATATTTTTCAGTGTCTTTCAAAACGTTTAACTCCTTCCATTTCCTGCAACACAAACGACTCAAAACTCAGTTTATTATAGAATTTCCTTTGTCTATTTATCGTTTCACATTTTGCTTTATCTAAGACAACCACCCGGATCAAATATACTAATATGATGATAGTCTCACCGTACAGCAGCTAAATACTTGTTGTGGAATGGCTGGCTCTCAGTGTATTCCAAAAGTTTATCCCAGTAAAATGCAAGAACTCCAGAGGCAGTTCTGTGAAACACACAGTCTGTAAGTTACAGAATAACTATTATTAAAAAAACGTATAGCTTAACAGCTCAACATTTTCAACGATTAATATGAGAAAATGAGAGATGTAAATAATAGATTTTCTATCTAAATAAAACACACATACAAAACTTGGGTTTCCATGTTTTATGTGGACTTTCCAGAGAGTTGTCGTGACATAATGAGTTTCATACTGTACAAACTGTACATTTATCCTCCAACCCTACACATCCCAACCGTAAACAGAAACCGTAAACAAATAAAACACACACACAGTCTTGCTGAATGTTCTTACCTCAATGTTATCAGAAACTCATCCTTCTCTGTCTGCTTCTCTAAGGTGGATATTTCCATGGCTTTCTCTTTGACCAGATGTATGGCCATTTGTGCTCTAAAAAGTATTACTGAGAATTAAATGATGACCTACAAAAATCTATATTTGTCACCTGAGTATATTTATTGCATGTGTTACTCTATAGACCTGCATGAAAGAAACAACTTAAAGGGATAGTTCACTTTGAAATGTTGTGTTTTAGCTTACCTCAAGGGCATCCAAGATGTAAAGTAGGTGTCTTTGTTTCCGCAGTAGTGTCAAACCGTTCGTTTATTTAATGACTCAAATGTACACATTGATGGCCTAAGACACAAAACGAGCGTATTGTGAGAAAACGAACAGTATTTATAGCGTTTTTATCTCTTGTAACCACAGCCACAAAGCGCCCGCGCCCTCAGATCACTTGTGGCTGTGGTTACAAGAGGTAAAAACTATATAAATACTGTTTGTTTTCTCACACAAACCGCTCGTTTCGTGTCTTGGGCCATCAATGTGTACTTACATTTACGAGTCATTAAATCATATTTAATTTGGACTGCTCTGTGCATGCTCTTTGAGGTGGTGACCATAGACCTCCATTATATGACTGACAGACAAGAACGGTTTGACCTAAAAATATCAAAATTGAAAATACTGCGGAAACAAAGACACCTACATCTTGGATGCCCTTGAGGTAAGCTAAAACATATCAAAAATTAATTTCAAAGTGAACTATCCCTTTAAATCCCAGACATATCACTGACTGATTTTGTATACTTTGACCGAGCAATGCATGACAAAACAGGTCTTACTCATCAAAAAGAGAATTGAAGTCTATCTTCACAACTTCCAAAGCAACTTTTAGGATTTCAACCACATGAGGCTGTGCCATCCTGTTAAAACAAAGAAAACAATATCCTTTCAGTGTCAACATGAACAATAAGCTGTTGGTAACGCTTTATAATAAGGTCTGCAATACCTTTGTTACAGTATTTTTTAATCTGTCAACATCAGTTAAAAACACAATTGTTCATTGTTAGTACGTGTACATTAAATATGTAAGCAATAAGTAACGAGAGGCTGTGCTGTATCGTGAATAAGTAACGGCTAAAGGGCGTTGTTAGGCACGACGCAAAGCGGAGTTGCAGGAGTGCCTGCAACCCCTTCAGCCGTTACTTATTCACGATACAGCACTTGCCTCGAGTACCTTATTGCTTTTTTAAACCGGTTGCCACACAATATTAAAGTAAAAAACAATGTATTAGTGCAACTTTCTTGAAGTAAAATCACTAAAAGCCTTCCTTCCGCTAGAAAAAATAGTCCCTGAACGTGAACAGCAACAACGTTCCAATGTGTAAAATGCATGAAAGCTCAAATAAAAACAACATAGATCTGCAGTGTTGCGCAGCGATCAATAGAACCGTTGGGTGAAGCGGTCATAGCCGTGTTTTATCGTGAATAAAACACAGCTCTTGACCAATCAGAATCAAGGATTTGAACTAACCGTTTTATAATAACAGATACAACTTTTGAAATGAATAATATAGCAAATGTTCTACGTTAGTCAAAATGTATACATTTAAAGGGGTCATGAACTGGCTTTTTTAATTTTTTATATTGTTGTCTGAGCTCAACTTATGACGTTCTCTTGGTTTTTACATTAAAAAAACATCAAAATGAATAAGTAATAGGCTATTTTTTACCCTAGTTTTGAGCCCAGCTCAAAAACGCTCGGATTTTATGGGTGTCTCGCATTGAAGACTTGGAAGTAAACGCCCACTGCTGTGAGTTGATAACAGTTTTGCATATTATAATGAGTTTCACTCTTGACCCGGTTTGTCATCACGAGGTAGGCCTATGTTATTTAGCTATGCGTGTAATGCGCGAATCGGTGGGCGGGGCTAAACCGGCCACGTTCAAGTAGGCGTTGATCTTCTTCTGGGGGGGGGGTTGGTGTTTTATCCTCTTTGACGTCATAGTTCCCCACTGGTGTCAATAAAAGCTTTTATTGGACTAACAAGGACGTTTTCAGTTCTGAAACCTACAGGATATTCTTACAATATGATGACCTCTTTGATGTCCTCATCACCCCTTTAAAGTTCAGGTGAAGACATTTCAGTATAGAATGTTTTTTCAATTTTAGACAAACATCTTAACACAAATATAATTTATAATTACATCTCACAGCAAGATATTTAGGTCATATACACTGTATATTATTGTATTGTTTTACAATGGGAAAGATTCTGTCATACTTCTTGGACAGAAGGTGACCGAGGAACCCCACGGGATCGCTGTAGATCGGCGGAGCTCCTGGAAGGTAGCGTGACTCCACATGTCTGCATGAAACAAAACTGATGAGCGATTGTATTATCAATGACTGAAAATAAATCTTGAGATGGTTGGTCTGCATGTTAGAGGTGATGGATTTGAAATGTTCAATGGATGCATTTTTATACTTGCTTGATTTCAAATCAAATATTTTCAATCATCTTGCAGGCAATAAAAAAAAAACATGCTTACTTCCAGAGGTCCACCATCGTCTCGTTTTTGATGATCCCTTTAAACATGGCAAATTTTCTGTAGAAAAACAGAGTCATCAGTGTTTTATGACATGAGACCAGTCAAATACTTTTCAATAAATGAATAATCTGAATGGCCTTCATACCCACTATTCTCATGAGCTGTCCACAGGTGAAACATAACGTCTCCATAAAGACAACCCAGTCTTTGAAAAATGCTGTAAAACACACATAAGCAAATAAAGTTATCATTTGACAGTTCAGAAGTAGAAAATATAAGAGTTCCTTAAATATATCACTTTCAGCCTTAGCAGTATTCAATGTTCAAGATCGCTGTATAATTATAAAGACAAGTGCAAAGCTTTTTGTATCAGGTGGAAAAGTTCTACTTACCGCAGCGCCACAATGAAATCATCATGTCCTTTAACTCTTCCCTCAGCACTGATCCTCTCGATCAGCTGTTTCACAGAAATCCACAAGTCTTGCATATCAGTGCTGTACAACACGGGAAACAAGGGTTGTGTTAGGAGGGACTGAATTTACACTTCAGGCTCAGAGAAAAATATGTAAAAACATGGCCCAATTACAGTATAAACTGTTACTGTGAAGAAATATTCTGTATAACATTTTTCACAAGCGGTTTTCTCGTGTTTTAAATTACAACATTGTGTTGAAGAAAACATCTGTAAACTATTTTTTTTATTCTTACAGTGCGTATTAACGGTATATCATCCCATTATTCTAGTTTTTAATTCAGTTGTATTCATATTTCAAATATTTTAGTAATTTTAAGATTTGCTTTTGTCATTTTATTAGTTTATTTAAAAAAAATGTAGGCTTATTTTTTTTTAATCTCTTTTTAGTTTTTATCTAGTTAACTATTTTAGAGCAGCGACAAATAAAGTGCAAATTAGTGGAATTAGCGATAGATGATAATTACACTATAAGTATAGCAACAAAAAGCATTTTCTTTAATTAGTACTAATAGCAATAAATGTTAAATGCTATTTATACTAAGATTTTGTTTTTTGTGTATCATTTAAATATCTCTATTTAGCTTATTTTTTTAATTCATTTTAGTTTTTATTTATTTCTAGTTAATCATTTTAGTGCTTTAACTTTTCAAACATTGCAACATTTCAAGATTTTTGTCAGATTTATATACTATTTTATTTCGAATAACAGAAATGTTTTAATAGTTTTCTTCTAAGCTAACGACAATAATAACCCTGCATACATTTCTGGTATTTACCCTCTTTTGTTGATCTTACTTCTTTCCAAAACCACCAATCCTGCAGCCTTTAAATTGTCCAAGTATTTCAAAAATCCTTCAGCTCCCATTGTGAAGAGTTTGTCTGCCATTGCATAGTCTTCATCTGTTAGGCTCACACTCTCCACACCTACATAAGAAATCAAATCAGAATCAACTAAATTATAATAAGCAATAGCATTCAATGACTGAATACGACCACAGCATATGTTTAAAAAAAAACATTTAAGAGAGCTGTTGTGTCAAATAAGAGATCAAATACCACCGGAATAATTTAATAATATAAGAAAAGAAACACTTACCTTTAGAGAGAAGAACAGTTACGATTAAGATGGCCAGTGACATATTCATATTGCTGTTTCTTTCCCAGAACAAAAAACGAAGAAAATGATCACGTCCACTGTGGACTGTCCGTTAGCGTCAAGAGTCAAAACCTAGAATGAACTTTATCTCCATTGATATGAACTTTCATCTGTGCAAACACCAACTTCATTGCAATCAGTTCCATGTAAACTCTTCTTAAGGTAACAGTCTGTTTACTTGCCTCTTTGAAAGTTTAACATCAGGTTTGGGTCAGGTTGATATTTTGGTAACTTTATTTCGATACTCCACACTGTCAAAATGAAAATGCTTTATCTAATCAATAAAATTGTGGCAACAGATTACAAGCAATATTATTAATTAAATTGAACAAATTAGAACTGAGTGATACTTAATCAAAAAATTCCTTAAAATTTAACCATTTAAAATGAGTAATGTTTAAACCAAAAAACAAAAATATCTGAATAACAGACAGACGTCAAAGAAGAATTATTTTATATTGCCAACATTGAAGATACCTGATGTTAACAAGCAGAATCACTTAAGGAGAAAACCGCATTTTAATACAAACAAGCTTATGCATTTTTTTTACGCAATAAATGCAATCTTTCAATATTAAACTGAATGTAGGCCATGAGGTCAGTGCACTCTGCCTATAATGTAGATCAGTGTGAAAGTCCATGGTTTTGTGTGCTTCTGAGCTAAATTTCTTCAGTCAACATCAGTTTTTAGGGTCAGTAAAAGGCAGTCAATCAGGATGCTTCTTCTCTTTTCCACTAGTGTTAATATTGTTTATTTTTAAACACTGACGCAAGACTGAAGAAACTGGAAAAAGTGGAACAGAGGGCTACTCTATAAGAAAACAAAGGAAATAAATATTTGAATTCTCTTGCTATATTACCACCCCCATTCGAGACACGACCCCACTTGAGTTGATCACCTCCCAATTTACACATCATTCCCTTCACCCATCCCTACCTGAATTCACCCAAAAATCTATGGTTTAATATGAACAATTATCATACAGTATTATACATGTTTGGTATCATTTGAAATGTCTCAGTGTGATGGGTAAAAAGGTCTCATTCCCACAGTAAACCAAAAAGGTAATAAGGTGTGGAGATTTATCTTGTTGCACTCTCAGAAAAAAGGTACAAAAGCTGTCACTGGGCCTGTACCTTTTCAAAAGGTACACTTTTGTTCATTTTAGGTGCTAATATTTACATTTGAGGTGCTAATATGTACATTTTAGGTGCTAATATGTACATTTTAGGTGTTAATATGTACATTTGAGGTGCTAATATTTACATTTTAGGTGCTAATATGTCCATTTCATGAGCTAACATGTCCATTTCATGAGCTAACATGTCCATTTTAGGTGGTAATATGTCAATTTTAGGTGTTAATATGTACATTTTAGGTGCTAATATGTACATTTTAGGTGCTAATGTGTCCATTTCATGAGCTAATATGTACATTTCAGGTGCTAATATGTACATTTAGGTGCTAATATGTCCATTTCATGAGCTAATACGTACATTTCAGGTGCTAATATGTACATTTAGGTGCTAATATGTACCACTAAGGTACCAATATGTAGCCTTTGGATACAAAAGTGTACCTTTTGAAAAGGTACAGCCCCAGTGACAGATTTTGTACCTTTTTTTCTGAGAGTGTGTGGGTACATGTAAATCAACTTCTGTCAGTAAGCCTGGGACGGTAATTAATGGAAATTCGCACTGTTAACTCATGTTTATATTTGAAAATAAGTTTCTGCCTTGGTCTGAGTATTTAGGGAGATGCTGAGTATTTAGGGAGATCTGTAGCTCAAATTAGCCTATTTTATACACTCTATTTTTTACAGTCTATGCATAAAATACATGATGCGGAGTGCATGCATACACTCCGCATCATGTATTTTATGCCTACACTGTAAAAAATTGATTTTATGCTGAAAGACAGTAACGTGCAGACTTACACCTGTTCTATCGGATGCCTCCATTGGGCCGATCCAGACGGGCTTACACTCGAAAAATAGACCTTTTTTTTTTAGATCAATTTGTCTTAAATTTACATAAATTGATGTCACATAAAAGTTATTTTGATAAGGTCAGTGTAACAAAAAAAGTATTCACCAATATATGCCAGTATAAAATCAATTTTAGTTTTATTATCACTATTTCATACTGCAGGGACACACTTTTGATTAGTATTTTTTATTTAATTTGCACTTGTCTATCGGAGACCAGCTAGTATGATAAGTGCACTGTATCAAAGTATTAATTTAAATGTTAGTACATAGTAGTTAAAGACACTTACTATTAAGTGGGAGAGTTACACTTAAGTGCAAATTAACACATGAAAATATAGATCCAAAGGTTGATTAATGTGTTCAGATGTGTTTTTTTTACTCAGTATTTACTAATGTAATGATGGTATTATTTTTTTTTTTTTTTCATTTCAATAACAGCAAGTTACGTACTGTTAATAATACATTGTTGGTATAATCCTATTAACAGCAGCTGCAATTAAATGAAATCAAAAATAAAAAGGGAATTTCATCTCACAATTCTGACTTTTCTTTTTTCAATTGCAAGATATTTTCAGAATTGTGGGACATATACATGCAATTGGAGGAAAATGTCAGAATAGTGAGCTGACTTTTATTCTTGGGACTTTATAACTCACAATAGAAAGTTCATATCTCACAATTCTGACTTTATTTATTAGAATTATTAGTTAATATCTTGCTAATTCTGATTTTATAACTCACAATTGTGAGTTTAGGCTATGCATCACAATTCGGACTTGCAATTCTGGGGAAAAAAAGTCAAAAATTTTAAATTAAAAGTCGCAATTACCGACTTTCGCAATTTAATTAATAATCATTTTTTAGTGGTGGAAACAAGCCCCAATACAATCCTGACATTTAGGAGAGTTTACTCCACTAGTAAATCCCAGACATCATGAATCCACATGTTTGTGCAATGCATTGACCTCTCGAAGGCTCTGTGGGAAAAATAAAAATTGTGAAGATGGAATAAAAATGTATATTTATCTATATGGCTTCTGTTCAAATGCAAATATGGTATGAAAATTATGAATCTTACATAGCAGTTGGATCAATCATTTTCTCAAAGTCATCAACCAGAAAAGTATACTGCTGTAGTCTCTTTACGATTTGATGACTGGCTTGAACAAAGTTCCTTCATGATTCAAAAAACAAACAAAAAATAACTTGTCAAATATAAACTTATTTCAAAAAGATCAAACAAAGCTGAAATCATTCAATCAAAAAGGGGAGTGAAGAGAATACATGTCTCAACATGTCTTCATAAACAAAAAATTCCTAAAATAACACTTGATCTTTCTTGTTCCTCTTACTTTGGTGCTTCTTCAAGCTGCTTTCGGGTAAATGCTTTACTTTTCAACAGCTCATTAATGATGACGCTCTTCTCTTGATTCCATTCACTGTAAAATATAAGTTATACCATTTCTGATTGTTTATTTGAATGCAAAAATCATACACAAGAACATGCTAAATTTCAGCCAACAAAGTGTCTCAGATTTAGGCAGCGTTTTAACCAGTTCTCTTACGAGTGATTCTCTCGTACGCTATGGGAAAACCTCTTTTCTATGAGATATTGAAGCCAAAAATGATCTAATGTAAAACACATTGCGGCAGCATGTAGACATAGGCAAGGTGGCTTGCGTGCCTATTGGTTGTCCTGCGGCAACTGCAGCAGCCTATAGAGAGAGGCCCTTGGTGACGTCAGATCCAATGGGGGCACTTCGTGACCACTGTCACCTCCCGCCAAAGCCGGCGTGGCCTAGGCCTATAAATATAGCTCGATGGGCTGATATAATCTGATTTTTCATCGCTGGATCTGGAGTGAAGAAGCCGCACCGTCTGAGAAAAGCTTTCTGCGGTACGAGCCTTTGCACCTGAAGACGCTAGTCTTAATCTCGCCATCTTTAGCCGACGTTCCTGCTATGCTTTTTGGCGTTTATATCCTTTTACTCTGCCGAGTGTGTGTTCGCCCCTAAAATCCAATAAAGTCAAGGGAGAATCCCATAGAGAGTCAAAGTTGATCCTGCTGCTAGCTCATGGACAGCTAATACTCACTCCGTCTCTGTGATATTCGGAAGGGAATTATTATTTAGATTTCACTCAGCACAGCCACTACAAGACATAGAGGTTGCTCAGTTTTTCCCGAATATCCACACGATTGCAAACGTGACATTGATTGTATACAACAATTCAACAAACGGACGACGAGTAATATTAAGTTATGTTCATTTTAAATAGTATTGTCAGGTTTTTTTTTCACGTTTTTTTTTTTTTAAGTTTAGTTGTGCCTCTGTGATGTTCTGAAGGTATTGCCCCCTAGCAACCGATAGCGTCTCCTACCATCATGGCTGACCGGCTCAGACCCCGCCAAAATCAGCACGTGACTCCTCACTCTCAAAACTGGACATATGAAGAATAAAGTGGATAAAAGTAGCATTCACTTACTTCACTGATTGCTGGAGTTCAGTTTCATCATAACGTCTGTGTGGACATCGTTCATTTCTGATATTCATCAAGAGAAATGAAGGCCAAACTTCGAGGAATGCTCTCCTAATTACGCTATAGCAAACAAATGAAGGTTATGAAGAGGAATATATGGTAACACTTTATTTGAAGGGGTGTACATAAGACTAACATGACACCTTCATAATCATGACATGACACATGTTTTATGCATGTTTGTGACAACTGTCATTAAGTGTCATTCGCTCAGTTGTGACATTTTTAATGCAAATATGACATTGTTTGAGATGTTTTTGTAATGTACACCTTGACATAAACCAATACATCATAACCTTTCAGTGTTTTTGTCATGACAACTTGACATAACTAAGACAACACAACCTGTCATAAACATGACATAGCAGATTAATTATCAAACTTAAGAAACCACCTAGCTTTATTGGTTAACATTACATTAAACTGTCCTGTGGTTGGTTTTGACATTGGCTGTCATGAAGCCATTATAACATTTTAATGACAAATTCAACTAGTACCACTGTAGTTGAGGTCACAAAAAATATTCATGACACAGTGACAGTTATAACAGCCTCATGACAGCCAGTGTCAAAGCCAATCACATGACAGTTTAACTTAATTGTATGTTTTTAACATAAATGTTTTTAATTTTAAATTAATTCAAGTTGTCATGACAAAGACACTGACAGGTTATGATGTTATGCTTTATGTCAAGAAGTCATAACAAAGACATCTTAAACAATTTCATATTTGCATTCAAAATGTCATTATTGAGCGAAAGACACTTACTTCATAAACCCTACTTCATATTCAAGACATACACTACCGGTCAAAAGTTTTAGATCAGTAAGATTTTTTAATGTTTTTAAATTAAGTCTCTTCTGCTCACCAAGGCTGCTTTATTTGATGAAAAAAAAGACAAACAGTAATATTGTGAAATATTATGACAATTTAAAATGACTGTTTTCTATTTTAATATATTTTAAAATGTAATTTGAAAGCTGAATTTTCAACATCATTACTGTTGCTGATTACACATCAGTTTTCAGTGTCACGTGATCCTTCAGAAATCATTCTAATATGCTGATTTTATGCTCAAAAAACATAAATTATTATTTTCAATGTTGAAAACAGTCGTGTACCATTTTGAACCATCAGTCGTGAATTTTTTCCCCCAAAATTCAATGATGAATAGAAAGTTCAAAAGAACAGCATATAATATTTTCTAACATTATAATGTCTTTACTGTAACTTTTGATCAATTTAACTCATCCTTGATGAATAAAAGTATTTTCTAATTTCTTTCCCCCAAAAATCAAAAATCAATTCTTACTGACCCCAAACTTTTGAATGGCAGTGATTAATGTTACAAAAGCTTTCCATTTCAGGTCAATTCTGTTCTTTTGAACTTTCTATTCATCAAATAATCCTGAAATAAAAATGTAAAAAAAACTGTTTTCAACATGGATATTAATCATAAATGTTTCTTGAGCATCATATTATAATAATTTCTGTAGGATCATGTGACACTGAAGACTGAAGTAATGCTGTAAATTCAGCTTTGATCCCAGGAATAAATTACACTTCACTATATATTCACATAGAAAACCGCGGTTTTAAATTTTAATAATATTTCACAGTACTGTTTTTTTAAATCAAATAATTGCAGTCTTGGTGAGCAGAAGAGACTTGTTTTAAAAACATAAAAAAATCTTACCGATCTAAAACTTTTGACCGGTAGTATATGTCAAATCATGGTTATGAAGGTGTCATGTCAGTCTTATGCACACCCCTTCAAGTAAAGTATTACTAAATATATGCATTACATACAGAGCAAAAAGCATTATAAATATATATCAAGAACATACAACTTGTCTTTATTGAAAGGTGATCAAGATAATTTATTCACTGTTTGATTGTTGTTGGTTTTTTTTTTTACTTTCTCTTACCACAAAGGCAGTAATAGTGGATTATCTTTGTAATTGGTTTCCTCCAACATAATTAAGAATCTAGGTACATCCAAAAAGACCCTAATGCCGCTCTCCAAATACGTCTGTCTGCAAGACAGAGAGAAACAAATCAAAACAATGTCTTACTATTTTAAGATTAACATATTACTTCAATATGATATAATTGAACATGAGCCATGGTTAATGTTACTTACCTGTAAGTGGGTGATCTATCACCCCCTTCAAGAACAAGAATTATGTGATTTACTCTGTTCAGAAACCTGTTGATCTCAGTAATACCAAAGCCAACTTCAGAAAGTTTTTCATAAACAGGAAGAGTGTAAACAACAGCGCTTTTGCCAATAGCCCTGAAAAGATGGAGGGATCATCTTTGTTTTACCTTTGATTAGTCATTATTATCAAATCAATTCACACAGATGTTTATGAAGTATATCTACATGTTTCGTGTCATTAAAATCTGAAACAACAGATTAACAACTTTTGAATCACAAACTGTAATTTTCTTAAGCTACTCACAAATCAAATCAAATCAAAAGTATAAGATACATGGTTACACATTCATTAATCATAATCAATTCATTTTATGAAGTATAGATGTCCACTTGCCAGTTAGACTGATTGAATCTGTCCAAACCAAGAGCTTCATTTCCACGACTGTAATATTCCAGTTGCAAGGCGTCAAAGAATTTATCCAAATGAAGTTTAGTCCAACTAGAAACGAAAATTGGAATTACTATTATTATACAGTTACAGTAAAAAGTAAAAATAAATATTCCAGCCCTTGATTTTGATTGTTGGAGCCACGCTCGATGTACACTACTCTACGAGTATACACGTGACCTCGTTACTTAATATTTAAATAAAATTAATAATAAAATCAATAAGTCCTGAGAATATGTATTTTACAATGAATTAAGAACTGTAAACCACAGTATGATTTAGATTTTTAAAGGGAATAAAAGCAGGGCTGTGACTATAGGTGTGCTTAAGGCCGTGTGTCCACCAAAGCGCTTTTCCACGCGCCTGGCGTATGTTTTCAATTGTTTTCAATGGGAGCGCCGTGTTTTTTAAACGCCGTGAGCGTACCGAGGCGCAGAGCGTTCTTTTTCACGTTGAAGCGCCGAGCACCAAGCGTTTTTACTGGTCGCTGGGAGTTGAAAAATGTTCAACTTTGGATAAAACTCAGCGCTCATCACTGTCACATTTTACCCAGCTGTCCAATCACAGTGGAGGAGGGGCGGGACCAAACCACACCAACCAACTGTCACAACATTCAAACTGCTGCATTTATTCCGTATCATAGCAACGAAACGTTTTAACAGAAAAACCGCTATGATACAGAATACCCGCAGCACAGTTTGAATGTTTACAGTTGGTCGGTGTGGGATTAGGAATATGACCAATATGACCAGGATTAGTCCCGCCCCTCCTCCACTGTGATTGGACGGCTGGGTAAAATGTGACAGTGATGAGCGCTGCGTTTTATCCAAAGTTGAACATTTTTCAACTCCCGGCGACCAGTAAAAACGCGGGGCGCTCTGCGCTTCAGCATGAAAAAAACACTCAGCACCTCGGTACGCTCATGGCGTTTAAAAAACGCGCCGCTCCCATTGAAAACAATTGAAAACATACGCCAGGCGCGCGGAAAAACGCTTTGGTGGACAGACGGCCTAATTAAGGTTGGAGCAAAACCCTAATTAAATACAAAGGACCGTGGCACTCCAGGAGGGATAAATGGACATGGAGTATTTAAAAAATATAAATAAAAAAATATATAAAAAAATTGGTTTAAAAAATACATATATATATATATATATATATATAAAATCCTTTTGTGTTCACTTGCAAAAATGTTGCTTCTGTCTCAACAGTATTGTATTCCTCAAAAAAAACTTGACTTTCACTTGCAAAACTTTCGCATCCCCCAGAGAAACTTTGCGTTCACTCGAAAAACCTTTGTGATGGAAAAGAAAAAAAAATAAATAAATTCTCGGGGGAACACAATAGAAGGATCATAATCGTTCAAGTGATTTTAATGATAATTATGAAATAGCTGTAGTTGCCCGAAAGGATGAGAAATGCCAAGGTATAACTATTAATTATGTAGTGGTTTAACTGACATTTGTAATATTCAACATTTTGAGCATGTCTTCCTTACTTCAAAAACCCATGTCTTGTATCCGGGTCTAAAAGCACATGATACTTTTCACTTGCGTTTCTCAACTCAATCAGCTCTGCCCACTGCCTGTAACACACAAAATTCAGGCATTTTTTTAATGGTCATATTCCTTTATATTTATCAACCTGTCAATCAGCAGCATAGTCTTACTTCATAGAATCCAAGTATTTCGCATGGAACGACGGACTTTCAGTGTGTTTCAAAACTTCATCCCAGTAAAAAACAATCAGTCCAGATGCGGTTCTAAAAAAACGCATAAGAGAATTTAGAGATGTCATTAAGTAAAATATTGAAGTTTGAAATTAATATTAACAAAGGTTCTTACCTTAATGATATAAGGAAATCATTCTTCTCTTTTTGCCTTTCCAAAACTGAAATTTCAAAGGCTTTGTTTCTAATGTGATCCAAAACAATCTGCACTCTTTGGGGGAGACAACAAGTGGTTAAAATGACACTTTATGAAATGTAATTATTTTTTGTCATGGGGTTATGTGTGCATTTTAGCTTAACTTAACACTGTTTGGAGGACAATAATATAAAATGGATCCATTTTACTGCATCATTAATCCATAGTTGTTATTTGGTTTAACAGCAATGCTTTAAAACAGCTCTTACTCCTCATGAATTTGGTTCAAATCTATTTTTCCGATGTCCAAAACAATATCCACCCCAGCTTCAAGCATGTTCACCAGCCGGGATCTCACCACCCTTTTAAATGTCAAAATACAGAATGTCACCTTTTAATATGCTATACTTAAAAACTATAAGTAAAATTACTTTGTAGTACAATGCATGTTTTACTACCACCGTGTCAACACTGGATGTGAACGGCGCAATGCGAAGCGCCAAAAGAAAATAGAAACCATTAAAATCAGAGATACTGTCTACACACTGGATGTGGCGTGGCGCAGCATAGCGCGACACAACAAGTTCCCAACAGTAAACTGATGCCTCGTTCAATTTACGACATACTTCATACACCCACGATATTTCTAATAGGAATGATAAATGCATTTGTAATGGTAACTTTTTCGAGATGCAACACGTCAACGGTTGCGTCCGGTGTTGACACGGTGTAATCGTCACAGAATCTCATGGTGATGGGATAAAATTTGAGATTGGAGGAAAAAATATGTCAATGCTTTAGCATTCACTGGCAAAAGTTTTGCATTCCCCAGATAAACTTAGTGTTCGCTCACAAAACTTTAGTCTTCCCTCGTAAAAGTTTTGCGTTCCCTGAGAAACTTTGCGTTCACTCGTAAAACCTTTGGGTTCCCTCGAGAAACTTTTGCATTTCCCGAGAAACTCGGAAAAGAAACTTTGCTTTCGCTGGCAAAACCACCAAATTCCCTCGCAAGACTTTTGCGTTCCTCAAAAATACTTTGTGCTCCCCCCAAGAAACTCAGTATTAGCTCGCAAAACCTTTGCGTTACCTCAAAAAATGTTGCGTTCCCCTGAGAAACTTTGCTTTCGCTCGCAGTACCTTTGCATTGCATCGCAAAACTTTTGCGTTCCCCCAAGAAACTTTGCTTTCGCTCGCAAAACTGTTGACTTCCCTCGCAAAACATTTGCGTTCCCTCGAGAAACTTTTGCGTTCTCCCATTAGAAATTTTTCTTACACTCGCAAAAATTTTGCGTTCCCTGAGAAACTCGCAACACTTTTGAGTTTCCCAAAGAAACTTTGTTTTCTCTGGGAAAAAAAACACCAAATTCCCTTGGAAAACTTTTGCGTTCCCCAAAAAAACGTTGCGCTCCCCCCCGAGAAACTCAGTATTAGCTCGCAAATCCTTCGCGTTCCCTCAAAAGTTTTGCGTTCCCCTGAGAAACTCATTATTCGCTAACAGAACCTTTGCATTCCATGGCAAAACTTTTGCATTACCCCAAGAAACTTTGCTTTCGCTCGCAAAACCTTTGCGTTCCCTCACAAAAGTTTTGCGTTCCCCCAAGAAACTTTGCTTTCGCTCGCAAAATTGTTGCATTCCCTCGTAAAAGATTTGAGTTTCCCCAAGAAACGTTTTGTTCCTTCAAGTCACGTTGCTTTCGCTCACAAAACCTCTGGAAGAGAACCCAAAAGATTTGACATTATTTTTCCTCCTATCTCATAAGTTTTCCTTCACCATGTCTCTTTAGGCGCTCCGTAGAATCTGTGCATAGCTCATTGCTGATAATATTTTAAATACAACATTAAACAAGTTGAAATTAAATTATAGAGAGGTCCTACGCCTTGGCCAGAAGGTAACTGAAGAACTCCATGGGTTTACTGTAGATTGGAGGGGCTCCTGGAAAATAGCATGACTCCAATTCTCTGTAATAAACAAGTCAGATGAATAAATCAATGAAGAGCAAAACAAAAGGTACATGGTGTGGATGGTGGATTTGTAAGGACAGTGCACAATCACATATTGGACAAGTGTTCTCCACTCTCAATGAACTCATGCTTACTTCCAGATCTCCACCATCGTCTCGTTTTTAAAGCTCTGACGGTAGATGTTTAAATACCTGTAGAGCACATTCATAGGTATTATATTGGGATTTAGAGAACTTGTCAGAAGTAAACAAGATCCTTTAGTGTTTTAAGAATGTGTAAATATGGTAAAGCTCTTACGGAAAGAACATTTTGTCAAAAATCTCCTTGAACGATGACGCAAATGTACCAGCAGCCATGAACGGAAAACGTGTCCTGTAAAATAAAGAACAGGCAATATAAATATATTTTTTTTAAATCACCAAAAATCCAACATAAATAAGACAAATTTGTTCTTTATCTACTAATTGTGACCATTTCTAACTATAACCATCACCGCATGAGATTCTAAAAGTCATTCTAATTGTTCTAAGTGAATAGCAGAGTGAGTCTACACCACAACTGTAACAATAGCGGAAGCAGAGGAAAGATATTGGTCTAAATTTTTCTTATTTTGTCGTCTGGAATCTGGGTTTAAACAACAATTAATATCAGTGACATTATCGATTTAACTGGACTGACACTATCAGTGGAGAACAAAATTTGAACTGAACTGAATTGAGCTGGATAATGACACTAATTGAGCTAAATAATGAAACCATTGTCTTCCATAGAGATGATTATAGCTGAATTTAAATGGTTTAATATCTGATGAACTTTGCAACATTGACACTGTTATTGAATTGACTTGAGGAGAACAATAACACTAATTTCTGAAGATCTGCTTTACAGCTGAAATTTAATTGGGTTTAATAATTGATTATCTTTACGTTAGCGCTCTTATTTTCCTGTTTATTCAAAATAAAGTTGCTTTGAGATGATCTTTAGAGTGCTGTATATAAATAAATGTGACTTAAATAAAGGAGTAGTTCACTATTAAAAAACTTTTGCTGATAATTTACTCACCCCCATGTCATCCAAGATGTCCACGTCTTTCTTTCTTCAGTCGAAAAGAAATGAAGGTTTTTGATGAAAACATTCCAGCATTTTTCTCCATATAATGGATTTCAATGGGAACCAAGCGATTCAAAGTCCAAAAGAAAGTTTTAGTGAAAACTGCAAACTGTTCAAAGGGCTTTAAACAATTCCAGAGGGTCTTATCAAGCGAAACGATCACTCATTTAAAAAAAAAAATAACAAAGTTTAAGTTTTATAAATGGTCAAATGGTCGCCTTGCTCTGTTCTGTGATGCGCGTTCATGACTCCCCTCTTCAAACTCGTTCATCAAAATGAACGAATCTTTTTCCGAGTCAATTCGTTCATTTCGTTCGTTGAATGCACCAAACGACATGAAAAACTGAAATATTGCACTGAAACTGTCTTTTGGACATTGAACTGTTTGGTTACAAGTAAAGTGCATTATATGGAGAAAAATCCTGGGATGTTTTCATCAAAAACCTTAATTTCTTTTTCGACTGAAGAAAGAATGACGTGGACATCTTGGATGACCTGGGGGTGAGTAAATTATCAGCAAAAGTTTTTTAAAAGTGAACTACTCCTTTAAATAAATGTATAATAAAGGAGACAAGTAAATATCTTCTGAAGCTTCTTAAGGGCTGTACTAAACAAAACACAAACAATTCACACCAAAGTTTACACCCTCGTTTTGCCTTTTTGAACATCAATGAACGCTTGCACCTTTTGTAATTAAGTATTTCCTTAAGGGTCCTCAGTGTGAAAAGATGGATCCCTAAATCATACAGTTAGTGTTGGATGGGGTTCAAGAAGGTGCAGGACCTTTTCTGTAGGACAGTTTCACTGCTCAGGACAAAGAACTCTATCATAAAACATCCAGGTAACGACACAGTATTAAGAATCATGCTAACTTTTCAATTGGTTCATTTGAGATTTATATTCATGACTTGTGCTTAGAATAAACATAACATTACTATCATTGCATTTAAGACCGTTGAACAGACTTACTTTATAAATAAATCTGACTTATTCTGGCTCCCGCTAGCATTCTCTGTATTTTTCACTGGTTTTGCAAATTCTCTTAATGATTTCACCAATCTTTGGACAGTGATCCTGTAAAAATATAAAAAGGTTATGATCAGGAAGCTGTTGAACCTGCATATCAGTAGCAGACACTTTAAGGTAGCCTACATTATCCACTGCCCGTCTTACCTAGATTTCCTGAACTGATCATCTCTCACTATTTTCTCTGTAACGTTTCTGACTTTGTCCAGGAAGTCTATAAAGACTACAGTCCCAGAGTAGCGGATATGTTCTCTCAAGTCACGATATGATAGTTTAGCACTCTGCACACCTTCTAAACAAAGACAGAATCATTTAATTTTAATCATTCGTTGATATTAATTGCTCAACCACAATAAGAAGGAAAACAACATACCGTAGCAGCAGAGAAATGCAGTTAAACTTACAACAGCCAAAACCTTCATGTTTCCGTCTTGCGCTGAAGGAGAGAAAAAAAGATCTAAGGAGGCTACTATACATGCCAGAAAGGAACGAAAACCAATGGATGTGTACTTTGTACTGAATATTAATGACGACATGAGAGACAAACACTTACGTTTTGATCTGTGAGTCTGTGCACATTAAATATCCTTTACTGTCTGAATCTTGGCTTATATTGGTCAGAACAAATGTGTGTAGGCTACTTGTCAACACCGAGCAGGGCAAAAGGGTAGATGGATCTAAACAAACATTTATCTGTTAATATTTGAGTGTTTTGTCCCCCAGGTTCCATTTCAAAACTGGAAAAAAAGGACCATTTGTTTAGCAGGGACAAAATTGTTTTATTCAGTGGTATTTTAGAATCACTGACATACTAATATTTAATTCGAAGGCAAAGAGCCGAAACGTTTATCTTTATCTCCTGTTTACAATAAAGTTTATTTTAGAGTGCAGACCTTTTTTGCATATTTGGATTGATTTATAGGTCTACCTAGTTAGCTGGGAGAGCGTGATGAGCCGCTTTGAGCATGTTGATTGGACTATTAGTAAAATAAAATAAATAATGTCTGTAGTTTTATTTTTAAAAATTTTTTAGTTTATTTGTTCATTTTTTAAATTATTGTAGTACTTCAACTAAACAAAAATAAGAATTGTCTTGGCAACCAGCCGATTTTTATTAATTTTTTTTTTTTTTTAGTTATAGATTATTTTAGTTTTTTTTTTAGTTTATGTTTTTAGTTATAGTTAATAATGAATCTGGCTGTGCCACCTGTTATATTATTAAGAGAGATAAACTGTACCACAGGAAAATGTAAAAAAAAAAATGGCATTTCAAAATGGAAATATAAAATCAGACCAATTATCATACAGGTTTATGTAGAAAGGATAAATAAGCAAAAATAATTGAAATATAATTTTAATTAAATTAAATTACTATTAATAAATTAAATAACTATTCAATTATTATTATAATAACTTTATAATAAATGTAATAGTTTTTGACTCTCCCCCTCCAAATTTAAAATGACCTTGCCCACAAATCCACCATTACGAAATAATAAATGTTATAAATGTTCGGATGAGTCAAAATAAATAAAAATCCAAATTAACTATTTGCAACATTTTTAACGGGTAAAATCAAGTTAAAGTTCATTAAAGGCAGAACAAAAGCCATTTTTTATTTAGTATAGCAAGCTGTAATGCAGTAATCGGGATCAATTATGTTTTCATGCCAAAAAAAAAAAAAAAAAATTCAAGAACGTACTTAGTTCAAATATCTTTGCATCTTTATTACGTACAGAACATCATAAATAAAAAAAAAGTGCGTAGAAAAATTTAACAGATTTAGAAATTCTTGTATACAACTATACACAAAGTTTCACTTTTGAGTCGGATCACGTTCAGTGATGGAATCAAGCCTCAGTCTTCATTTTTAATAAGCACACTTCAATTCTGTACAAAAGCACGAGGAAAGAGGGATCTGGAAATTCTCTGGAAAAACAAACAAAAGAAAACAAACAACCCCTACAGTCAAGTTGCATAAAATCAAAGCTATTTCGGGATGACCCCAGCATTATTTTTACTATTGTTTGCACTGTAACTTCACTAGCCGTCACTGGTTTACTGAGCTACTGAGGTAGTCAAACAAAATGGACGTGAGAGTCGGCCTAAACGTGCTGCGTGAGGAAAGGAACAAACACATGGCTATTAGAAGCAAGTCGGCCGTTTCAAGCTAAACCCGCCATTCATGAGTATGTATATTTCTGTCAATGCTTGTGCATGTTTTGATCAGGATGGGAGTATTTTTTGAACATTTAACACTGCACAAGTAATCCTAATATTACATAAACAAAGAGAGAACCTTAAGATATAAAAGCACATAAAAACAGTGGGTTCTTAAAATCAGTGTGTCAAAAATTTGGGCTTTAGGTGAAGTCTCATGAAGAAAAGTAATCTGTACATGACCCAGAATGCTGCGAAACTGTCTGTACATGCATTCAGAGAAAAGGTACTCTATCTTAAATTAATGTGGCAGACGAGGGAATTTGCGAAAGGGAAAAAGCATGTTCTAAGTGATGCATTCATTTGCACCCATGTAAAAAAAAAAACACTGAAATATACAAATGTAAATGCTCCTGTTTACAAACGATGTTGTGTAGCAGGATTGATCATAGTTCACCAAAATGTACATCTGTCCAGGAAAATATGTACAGTGCCAACATTTCTGGGGTGGGGGAGAAGCAAAGATTATTAAGGTGCTATTGAGGACGACCCATCACAGGAACTCCTCTGATTCAGTAGCAAAAATAATCACACCCTTTGTAACTTCAGGGTATCTTCCACAATGAAAACCTCTGTACATTAGTTCTGACAGCTAAAGGATTCTTCCAGAAAAGATCTACTGTATTACCAGTGGCAAGAAAGGCATGCCGGGGAAAAGTAGCATAAGGAGAGGTGAAGTCGTTAAGTAAAGGGTATTCGTTTGAGGTCACAAATTTTAATTGTTAAATCAAAGCAATCAGGACTTTCCAGGTTGTCGAATGTTGGGGTAGGAAATATAGCTCATACGAGGTAACCAATAAAGACATGAGTGGTGGTCTAAAACGCTACACAACTGGCCAATCAATATCACTATGGTGTATCCTCCAGCTCCATACCCTCAAGCACCTGTTCCTTCAAAAATAGCCACCCATACCAAAATATCCCCTCACAAACCTCCTATTTTCACCCATGTGCCAGAGAAAACCACGGTGACTTCAGTTCAGGAAGCGTCGGCAGCGCCGGGCCCCACAATTACAGTGCAATTTGTTGTTTGCATCTTCAATGGGGAACTTGTAGTCGTAGGTGAGCTCCTCTCCACGGTAAATCTTCCGCAGGGCGAAAATAACGATGTGCTTCTGGCTCTCCACGTTGATGACTCTCGAGTAACAGTTAGGGTCGCAGGAGTGGTTGATAAACCGGGCCGCGTTTCCATGCATGGTGGCATCCACCACATCGAAGTCATCAATGCGAAACATGTAGCAGCCGATGCCCTTTGAGGAGACAGAGGGAGGAAATAGACAGTTAGAGAGTTAGGAAAGAAACATTTATATGAGATAAGCCTGGTGACAACGAATAAACTGATATTTTTAAATCACATTTACCTTGCCGTCATAGTATTTCTCCCTTTTGTCTGTGAGAACTGAGCGGATGACATTTCCAGCATACTCGATCACCATCTCCCCAGCCTCAATGTTCCTCTTGCAGAAAAGACCACGACCATGTATAGCAGATCTATCATGGAGAGGAAAACGTGGTTACTTTTCATCTAGTGTTGATTTCGTCAACAAAATCTATGATGGAAAAATGTTCGCCGACGTCCTTTCTTCCATGACTGAAGTGACTAAATCTCTTTTTGTTTTGTCGAAAGAAATACAAAATATTACAGACTCTTTTTATCAAGTGTCTTGGCTTGCCAGATATCATCTTAAATCCCCCAATTAGAGCCTTTCTCTTAAAGTCGGCAAGAAATTGAATTAGACAAATCTTCTTTTTAGATGTAATATTGTAGTGTTCATTGTAAACGATTTATCTGTGCACTTCATTGTTTTTTTTAAAATTCATGTACCCTTATAATATTTAATCAAATACAAATCCCTCCCCCGTCGAAACAGCCTCTTCTATTTCAGTCAGGTGGAATGGCGAAAGGGTGCGGCCAGATCCGATGAGGGTGAGGCTATTGGTGCACCGCCTCTCAGAGAATCACATTCAAATCCATTTTGTTTGCAACGCCCAACATCCAAGAATCCAATCAATTTCCGAAGGACGAAATCAAGCCATGCCCTACATTTTCTAATTTCAGAAGCCGTTTCACTCAGATATACGTCACGACAAGGAAAAAATGACTTTAAAGGTATACTCCACTTTTTTTGGAAATAGGCTCATTTTACAACTACCCCAGAGTTAAACAGTTGACTTGCTACTGTTTTCAAATCCATTCAGCTGATTTTCTGATATTTAGAAGAATATCAGTAACCAGACAGTTTATTCTTCTAAATATCAGAAAATCGGCTGAATGGATTTGAAAACAGTAGAAACTCAACTGTTTAACTCTGAGGGAGTTGTAAAATGAGCCTATTTCCAAAAAAAGTGGAGTATCCCTTTAAAAGGTTACATTTTCTGCCTGGTGTTTTACTTAATCCTCTCAATCTGGCAACCAAGCGCACGGTAGACTTTCTACACTGAGAATGAAGTCGATCTTCATTAAGATATTGTGCTTAAATTAAATGAAAAAACTAATTTCTCACATGACCACAATCATTGTGATTATAATTTTGAGCAAAATAACCAGGATTATCAATTTAATGACAAAATTGTGACAGTTTTCATTGACTAAAACTTTACAAAAAAAAAAAAAAAACAGGACAAGGTTGACTTAATATGATAAAAACTAAAAAAGTACATTTGACACAGGACTAAGACTAAATAAAAAACAGCTTATTGGCTTATGATTTGTAATTAGAAATTTTACACGGCTAGCTTTCGTGCTGTATCACTGTGGATGGAATTACCTGTAAACTCCCACAGCTTCTTTGGAGGTTCTTTCCAAGTGTCTGAACCTCATAGCCACTGGCAACTCCGTACTTGTGGCTCTTCTAAAGGGAAGTTGAAATGCAAGAATGAATATAAATACTCTTGAGATTTATACATTCATACACACACTGCCGTTCAAAAGTTTGGGTCAGTACGATTTTTGTTAATGTCTCTGAAAGAAGTCTCTTATGAAGTAAAGAGATTTATGTTACAAAAGACTTTTATTTCAAATACATTCTATTCTTTTGAACTTTTAATTAAGAAAGAATCCAGAAAAAAAAATAATTATACTAATTGAGCTGAAAATCAGCCTATTAGAATGATTTCTAAAGGATAAAGTGACACTGAAGTCTGGACAAATTATGTAAAACAATTAGTTTAAATTTGAATAATATTTCAGAATAGTTTCGTTTATAATAACCAAATAAATGCAGCCTTCAAAAAACATCTTAAAGCGGAAGTGTATTATGTTGCTATAGTGTCTAACCGGCTGGATTTGAGCATAACATCATCCTCTTCATCATCACATGGCCTAGACTCAGGAAGCTGCCGATGTTGCGACGCCAGGAAATTAAACATATCAAAGGTAGATTTTCTGGAGAGTGAAAAAAAAAGGTCATTTTTGTTTTCCAAA